AGATGTCAGTCCCATCTTCTGTTGGGCTCGCCGCACTGCACAGCCCTGGAAATCGGGGCTGGAAAAGCGGGATTGCATCACCCAGCCCTCCAGCTCGGCTCAAACCCTTCCCCTTGGAAAAATCCTGAACCGGCGGAGCTCCCACCCCTTCACACCCCAACCAGCTCTGGCCACGGGGAGGTTTCCACCGCTAGAGCACGCTTGCAACCCTCCGTCATTACAGAATATATTTTATTTATGGAATTTTACAAATAACTTTACAATTCACGTGACATAAATTATGCTCTTTGTTTCGACGCGTATCTCTTACAACACCTGAGTTACTGAAATACTGAGATGGAACTTGAGCTTCGAATTGGACGCGGGAAGGGAAACACGGATGAAAATCCGTAACAAGCTCGATTTGGGTTGCTTTCCCTCCTCCTCCTCCTCTCGCCTTCCCCAACGGCGGGTACCAGCCTGCCCAAGCCAGGGACAGGAGCTCTCTCTCCCGGCTCCTTCAGCAGAGGGAGGGTCCCTCTCTGCGAGAAGCCTTGTTTCTCCGAGGGGTTTCGCCCTCCCACGCTCCCCAAATCTCCAGGTTGCATGTTTCTCAACGTCAACTCAGTCGGCAAGAAACAGGGTTAAACTCAAAACGTGAAGATGACGACGGACTTGGTATCACCAGTATGTGCCGAGGGGCCCGTCCCAGCTCTGAGAAAGCCGAGAAGCGTCAGTCCTTGCCACGTTTCCAGCTCGGGGGGACGCAGAGGACCTCCCAGCCGCAGTCTGCAAGCGCCTCGTGGTCCCCAGGGGACAGACAACAAGATTTCCCCCCCCCCTTTGCCTCCAACACGGAAGCTTTTCCATCTGTGCGCACCGCTGAAGCACTCCTGGCAGTGCCACGGCTGCCCTCTGCCCCGTGGAAAGCCGCCAGCGATACTGTGTTTTCCAAATACCTCCTTGAGAAGAGAGGGCATGGGTGCCATTCAAAGGACTCAGTTTTTCCACATTGAGTCGGTCAGATGGGGCTGCAGCTCTCTCAAGCAGGGAAAGGGAGTTTCTAATACCGCTTTCCATCCAACTAGTGAGAAATTAGCAGCGACCTAAAGCACGGGTAATGACGGCGAGGCACTGCAGAGGAGGGTGGGGGGCCGCCGCAAAAAAAAATTGAGGTGGCTCTGTCCCACGGACCCGCCGCAGAGGGAGGAGCGACTTAGGGTGACCATCCACACCAACCAGAGACGCTGCATGGGATACAGCGGAGCCCGTCCTGAAGGCAGCATGCGGCCCGAGGACTGTGTGGTACCTCTGGGCTGAAGGGTGCTCCCAAGAAGGCTCCCCTGCTCCTCCCCATGCTGATATTTAACCTTCTGGGTGCAGGACAAAGCCAACAGCATCCCGGGTGCCAAGGGGAAAAAGTCAACGCCTGGCCTAGCCAAAGCCACTGGGAGCAGAGGTGCTGATCCGTGAGGATACTGGCAGTGCCACATCTCAACAGGCAGAGACCTATGGGCTCGGGGACAACTGTTAGGAGCCTCAGAGGAGGAACATCATCCAGCTGGTACTGAAGGCAAATTAGGAATGACAGTGAGGTAACTGGCAGCCAGCAATCAAAACAGGGTACGATGCTACTGGATGGTGCTGAGCCTGCCCCAGGCTATGCCAAGGGCTGATGTCCCTTGCCCATCTTGTGATGGGCAGGAAAAATACCCAGCGCATCCTCTGCTTTGCTTTCCAAACGGGGGTGGAAGGGAAGGTGTGGGGAGCCTCAGCTCCAGCCCCCGGTGCTGAGCAGCACCGAGGTGAGGTGTCACGATGGCCATCACCCTGTCACACACACCCGCGGCCACCTGCACAGGCAGGGAGCGAAGGAAGATGCTCAGTGACAAGGCGTCCCCAGCACGTACACCAACACACTTCTCGAAGCCATCCGCACCACTCCTCATCCCAATCCAGCGCCTTACCTACCAGCTAAGCTGCGTAAATCAGCTCCCACTTATCAGCGTGGCCACAAACTCACCACTCCTGGGTGCAGGATAAGGTCTGGGGGGGGAGAAGGGGGTGCAGGGGAACCTCAAGCAACACAGGTAGGGTGGGCAACATTATCAATATGATAATAAGTCAATTCACCTAGTGAATCTGGGGAAAGCCAGCCCAGAAGCAGAGCTGTGAAGTGCCTGGAACACCCTTCTCTGGCTACTCCCTAAGGCTGGAAACACGCAACCTAAAGAGGTTCGTAGTCTATTTTTTATATATATATATATTTCTTTTTAAAAACATCCCCCCCCCCTCACCCTGAACCTCAGCCACTCAGCAGCATCAGTGTTTAAAAACCGGTGTCCGTTCCCAGGTGCTGGTGGGAGCTTGGTCACAGTGCAAGGACTGATCCCCCGGCTGGGGAGCCAGTGGCCAGGCAGGGGCTCGCCGTGCCAGCTCTGTGCTTGCCCCGCTGCTCTTGTGCCCTTGCTCCAGCACGGCTGCCCTCATGGAATGAGAAGGGGTTGGGTTTTTTTTTCCCCACCCCGTACAGCAGCAGGGACCTAAGGGAGGTAAGAGCACCCTGCCAGCCTTCTCCCAGCCACTGCCCCACGCAGCCCGCGTCCGTCAGTCCGACCTGCACGGGGTGTGGTTTGGTGTCCTCTGCTCTGAGCGTTGATGCCCAGAATGTGCTTTAAAAAACAAACAAACAAAAAAAAAAAAAACCAAAAAAACCAAAACAAAACTAAAAAAATCCTCTTCACCCTGCTTTTCCCAGGGCATCATCCGGGCTGCCAAGGGAACAAAACCAGATGTGGCTCCAGAGACACATTTCTGAAGACGGCAAGGCTGATGCTCAAATCATGAGCTGTGCTCCTCGAACCTCCTCTTCCTCGGCAGCCCTCCCCATGCAGGAGAGAAACACCAGCTCCTTGCATTGATGCCGGCAAACACGGCGGGTCCCCATTCCTCTTTGCTGCGGTGGTACTTGTCACCCCCTGCGCATCCATTCCCTGGCAGGTGAGCAGGCTGAGGCAGCTCGCGTCCAGCGCTAGCCCCGTACCCCATGGACCCCCATCACACACCCCCTAAGGGGTCAGGAGAGCGTCACGTCCCATTGCACCACCCCAAGCACAAGGAGGGGAGCAACACGGCTAGAGGAGCTCCTGTCTCCCAACTCCATCCTTCCTGGGAGACGCAAGGAGAGAAGGGATACAACACTGGAAAGAGATCCTCCGGTCAGTTCAGTCCTACGGCAAAGGGGATTAAGCTCCCTTCAGACTTAATCCAAAACAAGATGGTCTATGGAATAGCTTTAAAAGCAATGCCTCTTCTTCTGTAGTGTGATGTCAGTACCGTCGTATGGTTGCAGCAGGAAAAGGAAAGGAGAAAAAAAACAAACCAAACAAAAAAACCAAAAAAAAACAAAAAAAAAAAAGAGAAATACCCATTTCCCCCACCC